CTCCTAGTCTCTCTCTTTCCGTCTCCTTTTATTTAAACAGTTATGATTACATTACCCTTTTATTTAAACAATTATGATTACATTACCCTTTTATTTTAAATTTTTCTCTTTTCCAGTCCTCTTTAATTTAAAGATTAAGCATTACATCACGTTTACATCTTATTTTAAATTTTTTACATAAAGAATAAGATAAAAAGAAAAATATGAGAGGAGAGGATGAAAGAGACCTATAATAGTAGGGAAGAGAATTCTCCTCGAACACCAACTCAAAATTAAAAAAGAATTACAAACTAAAAACAATTTTCACCCAATTTTGAAAAAAAGAACGATCAAAACTTTACTTAAAATTAAATTAAAATTTGAGTAGCAGGCATTCAGTATGAGTAGGAGGTAATTAATTCATCAAGAATAAATCAGAAAAATACACATCATCACCATGCCTGTTTTTGCAAAAACGAAAAAAAATAAAAACACCAAGAAATCAACCACAACCCAGATAAATTCAGAAGGGAACGCCGAATGGATCATCCACACACATGCCTACTCTCAAAAGCCCAACCAAACAAATTAATAAAATCCCAGAAAAATTTGCAACAGAAAAATAGATGGAAAAAATGGTAATTGGGTGTTAATCTCTCAGACAAATGCCTCGTTTTGTCGTCACGATTTTATATATGAATGGATCGGACTCGTCATCGTTGTTGATCATCACTGAGAAAAACCCCAAATAACAAATTCAAAAAAAAATAAATAAATAAAGATTTCAGAAGGAAGAAACCAACCAAAAAAGAAAGGAAGATTTTTTTGAGAAAAACGGAACAAACAATCGACAGAAGAATAAAAAACAGAATGATTAACCTAATGAGTAATGACCATGAAGAAGCGAAAAGGAGAAGGAAGAAAACGGGACTGCCATTTCGACTGCTTGCGATGGGTCTCCGTGAAACAGTTCATGTGCTGTTTTTATAGGGCTCAATTAGGGTTAGGGTTTTGGTTTTCGGTGTTGGGGGGTTTTACGAATCGGCCATCATTTCGGCTGAATAGAGCGCAGTCATAGCCCATGGGCCTTAGTTTTGATATGAGGACACTTGGGCTTTGCTTTGTCCGAACATGAGGACTTTGGACTTTGGGCTTCACTCGCGTGATGTGGTTCGGCTTAAATATCGACGAGGTGGAGTTCACACGTTATTGCATGAAGACATAGACATGTTTGGAAGTTCTTTTTATGTAAAAAGAATTTTCAGATCACTAAAAGTATTTCTAATCATGTTAGGTAAAGAAATTTAAAAGTTCTTTTGGGTTCTAAAACACACTTAAAATGATTGTTAACAAATGATTCTTTCCGACCCCGACAAGCCCCAAAGGAACACAGGCCTAGAAGAACACAGACCCATGGGGACACAAGTCCAAAGGAAAGAGGAAGTCAAGTGCTTCAAGAAGTCTATGTTAGTAGTAGTCAAGCTGAGTGCTTTTTCATAAAGCACTTCTAAGCACCAAAGGGCAAGTTGGCTACTAATAGCTTTAAGGCACGAGGTCCCAGGAATAGAGAGGGCAAGCCTAGACAAGGGAACATAAAGGCTGACAGATAGGGTGTTCAGATATAAGCTCTCACCAACCTAGGGTTGAGTAAGGTGCTTGGCTACGTCATCCCAAGAAAGGACACAAGTGGCCGTACTCTAGTGTCCCCTCATTGCCACATGTCGGCCTAAGAACTGAGAGATAGCTAGCCAGTCTAGTATGTGCATTCTGCACATTCAGTGGTGAATCCAGGAATTTTCCAGGGGATGACGATTTCCGACGACCGGAGGGGCGGCTGCCCCTTCTTACCCCTATGTTGCTTCGCCAGTAGGCACATTAAATGTAAAGGAAGAGATATATTTGAACATAAGGTCTGAAAGTTCAGAAAAATGTCTATAAAAGGGGGATGAGTCTTCCGTAAAGGAGGGGTTGGATGAATTGAGAGAGAAACTGTACTATTCTGATTGAGCACTATTTGTAACCTTGTTCTCAATTTATATTAGAAACTTAGTTGAAGTAGCCTAGTTTTAAGGGGTGGACCTGTGAAATCTCGTTCTTGGATTTCATTGTTATAATCTACGTATTGGTATTATTGAGATTTTAAATTATTTTTTTTGGGAATTTACATTAACTTATTTGAATTTAGATTTGAATTAAACTAGTTACGAAGAGTGAAGTTTGGAAATTGGTTATTTAAAATTCGTAGGCCTTTCAAGGTCACAAATTATATTTTCGAATAGAACTCGATATTATGAATGTGTAGGCGCAAACTGTTTGTGAAACAAAGCTATAACGAATGAATTATTAACGTTTAAAGTTAAAGATATTTTGGTAATTTTATTCAATTGGGAAGGCTCCATATTTCTGGAGCAAAGATCTATGAAGCTAGTGTCTGGCTGGGATGCAAGGAAAGAAAAGAAAGAAGAAAAAAGGGAAGGTGGAGAAGGATCGAGAAAAAGGAAAGAAGGGAAAAAAGGAGGGGGATCTCTGGGATCTCTCTCTTTTTCTGGAGAGAGGACGGGAGGACTCCCGCTTCTCTTGACTTTTCTGGGGCGGTTTGAGATGACACACATGGGGAACGAGTCCTGCAAGTCTAATCACCAAAACACTACCAAGGAAGAAAGAAAGAACCGGGAGAAGAGGTGTAGATAGACTTGACGAGTAGCCTCACGAGCTTATTGGTTTCTCCCCATTAGTCGACCCAAAAATAAAGAGAAGAAAAGACAAATGGAAGGAAGGGATTAGAAATTAAATAAGAGCTGAGAGAAGGGAGTTGAAGATATTCATATCATTCTCGCTTGGGATGTCAACCTGCAGTATGGGTTCATATTCTCAACTCTCTTTATCCTTTCCGTTTAGCTAATTCTTATTAATATTTCTTTCGGTTAATCTGTTGTTTGCAAAACTAGCAGTATGTGTGTGTGTGTGTGTGTGTATGCAAATGCCTAAACTCTAGAATGGTATAAAAGCCGCAATGGATGTTTTGTTCAATTGCCTTGTTTCTGAAGACTTGTATTATTCAGAAAGCTATATTGTTGTATTACTACCCTTGGCAAAGTATTTCAACTAGTCCACTTCGGGAAGCTGGTTGTTTTCCAAACGACTGTATACTGAATACATAATAGTTATGAAGAGAAAATATAGGCAGGTGGTTTTGTCTACATATGTATCAAAGTACCTGCATATCTTCCTCACTCAATTTTTACAATCCAATCGGTTGGGCTTTGAAGAAAACAAGCTATTTTATTTGCTACAATCAGTCCAGCTAATTATTATCAAACCATAGTTAGATTATTTGCTTTTATATGTACTATTGGCTCTATGTTTTGATACAGAATTTGAAAGGGCTATGCATATGGTAATTGATTATGATTGTATTTAAATGATATTGGCTGGTAAAGTTAGGGCTGGTATATATGTCAATAGTTTGACAAATCCGATTCGGTGTGATTACTATTTTGATTAAGTGCTTCACGTTTACACATTACTTTCTTTGTTTGAATGTTATATGGGTGTCTCAATAAGTAGACATATCTATATGCATTACTACACTGAAATCAAAACCAATTTGACAATTCACGTTCTGAAGCTATGTGCCTATATGTCTCATAAGGGTTACTATGTTTACATGTGTGTAGTAATGACTTGCAGTGGTGATAGTAGTTTATTGAAGATGAACTACGAATGGCTTGATCCCTATTAAGGGTACATAGGCAGTTTAACGAGGAGGTTAGATGCAGCCATAAAAAATACGAAAATTACAACGCAATTCGAATATTGATTTATGCTTTGTATCTATCCCGGAGGTGGGGTATGTTAGACATACGGATATTTGGTGACGTCATGTGTCGATCCTGAACGTATGTTGGGATCGGGGTGTGACAGGACCACTTAAATCGACCGCCTTAGCACTATTTGTACTAGCCAACACTACACGTAGTCCAAGAATTGGCCGCTCGTGCGCCCTCACCTCGATGACGAGCCCATGGACTCGAACTTGAGATTTAGGAGAAGTGAAATCTCTTTTTTGCTTGGCGAATTGGTCCAATCAGAAGTGTAGTCCTCAATTTTGTGAGCTTTTCTCTACGTGCAACGTTTGCTTCTTATTCTAATTTTAGTAATCATGCCTCAAATCAGACTTAGCGGTTTAGCTAAGTCACATAATGCGTAAACTTGAAACCTTTAGTTTACAAAGAGAGAAGAATATCACTAAACCATAACGCCATTGGAAACTTTGATTCATCTATTTATCCATTTTCTATATTGCTCGGCTAAATCCACCTGGAATTTGATTAGAATCTCAAGCCCATCCTCGTAACTCCCGATGCTAGGTGCTTGCGCCAAGTTCCTAATAAGTGATTAGGCCCAAGGAATCATCATGCTTGGTTAGGAACTAAAAAACACTCTTGTTTATCATATTCTCTATCAAGTATCAAGGTAGCCAAAGTTTCTAAAAGTTACATGTAAGTTATCCAAGCACAATTTGAAGAACCATTGTTTGCTAGTGGGCAAGCACTGCCCTCTTTGGTGACTCAAACAATCGTAAAAACTTATTTGAGTCACCAAAGCAAATGCAGACGACTCCCAACCATTGATGTGGGGCATTACCAACTCAAGCGTGCGCAACTAATTCCACCAAAACCCTAATTTTTCTTCTCTTTTTACAAGGTTGAAAACCAACGCTTGAGCTCATGATGAATGAGTAGAAATGGCCCCCCTAACTTCAAAGTCTACTTAAACTTTCCATCTCGTAATGTTTCCTTTGACACAATTCAACCATCCAACAGATAATCTTTTTAACTAATCATCATGAGTCATGAATATTCAAGAACCACATGTGCGTGCTCTCTCTCTTTGTCCTTCCCCTCTCATCATCTCAATCAACTTAACAAAAACCCCAGACGAGAGACAAGCTGTTATCATATCTGCAGCTTCCAAAAGTCATACCAAAAACTGCTTTTACGAAAAATCAAAAGCAGATATGGAAAAAAAGTTTGCATTTTGCACCATTTGTAAAATCGCTTTTCGGCTTTTGCTTTTACATAATCATATTTTCTCAGACACATCGCCTCAAAAGTCGAGTTCTCAGTACCAAATAAGCGAATCCAATCCAAGGTTCATTCATCTACGTGGCAGTGAAAATAAGTGATCCGCTACGGGCGGGCCTACTGTTGGTGATGGTGTCGCCGTCCTTTTCTCGTATCGACGACCGTAGGTTCGTGCGAATCGCACACCTGGGTCTTGAACTTGCACCCGAACCTCCGGGTTAACGACTTTTTCCAACCCGAACCGTCCATCCCCGGTTGACCCGACTTATCAATCTTCTCGATTACTTTTTTCATGCTGGAGCATTCCCGCTCTAGTTGGTGCACCCGCGTCCTCATGCTATCCATGTCCAACCGCAACACCTGATTCTCCCTCACCGCCGCCCGCCACGTGCCGCCACTTTCCTCCGCACGTACCACTCTATTCTCCTCTTCCTCCCCGCGTGCCTCCGCCGCGTCATCATCGTCTTCTTCCTCCTCATCCTCTGGCTCGCGTCGCAGCACCGACGGCCTGGCCGACTCCGCGGAGCGACATCGGCGGCGAGAAGAGTTCCGGCGATTGCGTGACGGAGCTGGAGCTGCTCAAAGAACAGAACCTGCACCACCGCGCGCAGCGGCAATCGCTCGTTCTGCGCCGCGTGCGTGCACGCCTCCAGCGTCAGCTTCTGGCAGTCCAGAATACCGCAAACCTTCTCGCGCTCAGGTTCCGATAGCGATGGATGAGCCTGGAGAGAAGAGAAAACGATTAATATTTTGCAACTAACACCGTCTTGAGCTTCATTTCTAAATTAATTATGATTAATTAGGCTTAATTTCTGAAATCGTATTCTAATTTGTATCGAATTGCGTACACACCTTGAGATAAACATCGACGGCTCTGTAGAGACCGTCGTCGAAGAGCCGAGCTTGATCAGGCAAAGAAATCGCGAGATTGTAGAACCGATCCGGTTTGAGATTCGCATCGGAGGCGATTTCGGAGAGAAACTCGTCGATCAGTTTTCCGACGAGCATCAGCGACGGAGATCGGACTGCAGCCGCCAGAACCGTCGTCGTCTTCGATTCCGACGGTGTTTCCCTGATCCAAGCCGTTCAAGAAGTAGCCGAGGATCCGCTCGATGCAATCGACGTCGTAGAGCGTCTCGTTCAGGTAGGAATAGCTCGGGATGAGAAGGTCGTCTAAGGTGGCTTGGTGGAGCTGCAACGCGATCTTCTTCTCCAAGGCGGCCTTGCAGGTATCGGAGGCGTTGAGTATGTTGGCGGTTCGCAAAAGCCCGAAGAGGAATCGAGTCGCGGTCGAAGGTCTGGAGCTCTTCTCCAATGGAAGATTGGAGATGATGGTCTCCAAAAGTTCTCTCTGCTGACTCTCCGAAGCTAAACCCGATGATGCGGCAGCGGTAGTGGCGGCGGCGACTCCTGAGGAAGAAGACGAAGGCTTTCGATTCGTTCTCGAAATTCCAGGAATGTACTTCTTAGCATAATGCATCAAGCACGTCTCCACCATCTCCAAGCTCAGATCTCCAGATTTCATGGCGGAAATCAACCGCTTGAAGAGAGGCAAGCTCAGAACGACCAAGTCTTCAAGCCATGAATCCGCGTGTTTAGATCTTCTCCGTCCGCCGCCCGCGTCGATCCCATTCCATAAAATCTGCTGTTTGGAAGCAGAAGAAGCCGAAACAGTATCGGCATTAGTATTCCGATTGGGTCCACCGTCACCAACCGGCCAGCCAAACAGGGTGGGATCGGCGGACGTGGCGCGGGAAGCGACGGAGTCTATGCACCTCTGCGTTATCCCCAATTTCTCCGCCAGAGGCGCCACTCGCTCGCAGGACTTGAGAGCTCGGAGCGACTCCTTGAAACTTTTCAGCACCGACTGAGTAAGAAACCTCTCAGTTTTCGAAATAAGGTTGTCCTCCGAGTACTCCTCCGTCATCTCCAAATACTCTCCGGCGCAACGTAACGGCACGACGTTGGAGGAGCTCAGGTCGATCTTGACGCCGTAGCAGAACTTGGCGGCGATCTCGAAGATCTCGGAACCGCCGGGGAAGTCCGAGAGGGATATTTGGCACTGGACTTCTTCGATTTCGTCGTCTACGTCGTTATCAACTTGCTGGTGGGGGTTTGATGGGTTCGCCTCTGCTCTGTGATCAGGTTGTGAAGCTTTTGACTTTTCGACATCAGAGGGAACTGTAACAAATCAGAAACTGTTAGCTAAAATTTTTGGCGGTGGAAGAAGTAGAAATGTAGAATGTGCGCTCCAGGTGTTTGATGAAATGACCTTGTGGAGATGGAAGGTCATGTCGTCGACTTCGACGACAATGTCGCTCGGTAATCCAGTAGTGCAGAACCTGCAAAGACGAGATTTTGAAGTGAGTTTTGGCGAATTGGTGCATTGTTTTCAAATGGGTATCCGGCAGAAAAATCGAAAAGGTGAGGTTTTTAAATTGAATTTGAACATTGAACTCACCATGCTTGGCCTTTGGAGCTTGATTTCTCAGCTGCCGCCGTGGCCGTCGCCGCCGCTGATGCTGCCATTTTCTCGACCAGGTAATGGAAGGGTGGAAGAAATTGGGTGGTTGTGATATTCTGTGAGAATCAATTCAGCATTTGGGGAGAGAGACAACAGAAACCACGAAAGAAAAAGGAGAGACGAGAGAGAGGGATTGGAATCCAACAAAACTGAGAGAGGACAAAGAAATAGAGCTAACTCGATCAAATTTCGAAAAAGGGTATCCAGAATTCAGAAGAAGAATCTCACTCACTCACTCCCAGCTGACTCTCTCTCTCTCTCCTCCAAATGCTGAGACAGAGAAATGGGGTTGGCGTTGGAAAAGGCACGTTGTCTTTGAGGCAAATTCTCTCTTTTTTATTTTTGAGACATTAAAAAAAGAGCACCCCGACCTATTATAAATATAAATTAGCCAAACATTACGTTGCGTGCCAACTGTAACGGGGCCTTATTTGCTTTTTGGCGCAAATGATGGAATAGAGTGATATTTTAATTCAATTTTGATCGTTTCGTAATCTGGTGTCAACCTCATGTTTTTGAACTCTTTAAATGATCTCCTGTGTTTTTTTACGATGTTTTATAATATTAACATCAGAAATAAATGTATTTTTATTTATTATTATTTAATGTAATGTATGTTTATTATTTTATTTATCATCGTCAGATGGGTTTAAATTTTGAAATTTATATTTATCTACTACAAGAATCTTAAAATTTAAATCTATCTAACTGTGATAAATAGAATGATGAGCAAAAATACTCTCTATGAAAAATAATGTTGAAATGTAAAGTGATAAAGAGTTCATATATAAGGTACCGTTTGGTACGTGGAACGTGACAGAATAGAGTGGGACAAGACGTTCCGTCCCACGTTTGGTGCGCCTAAAACGGGTGAAATGAGCTGTTCCACGGGACGAGTTTTGGGTGAATTTTCGTTCCACCTCACCCCCCCAGGAACGACTCGTTCCACATTCGTGGAACACAAAATTATAACCTCTCCGTCTCCTTCTTCTTCCTCCTTGTTTCCATCCGAAGACATCTTTGCTCCAGCTCCGTTTCGTTTCGTCTTGTCCCGTCCCGTCCCGTCTGCATACCAAACGATACCTAATCTCACTTTAAACGAGTTTATCTAGCCGTTATCTTAAATTCTTAATGAAGAGTGATAGAGCAATTATGAGTTTTTGGAACTTGTTGTGGAAAATCCATAAGAATCGAGAACAACCTACTTCTGGTGAGACCGAAACAAATTCTCAACTACCCGCATGAGTGTCACGAGACTGCAGTCGCGCTTTCAAATTGGCCGGGCCTCACGAGTCATAGCAGAATGTGCTACAAGAGCTGTCTTTGATAACTCTAGTCTTTGGTTTTATAGTGAAGGCCAGAATATTTACAATTTGTTTACTATTAAATTCCTTTTGTATTTGTAATTTTGACATGAGTGCGCAGAAGATAAAATGAATGGGGATATTGTCTCATTGTGTACAACTTTCTTTAAAATTTAGTGGACCTTTACTAAGATGAATAGTTCATTTTTTTTACATTACGAACCCTAAAATTTAGGTTTCAACTAACTTACGTGAGACAATACCGTCTTGTCCAGTGCAATGATATGATCCTCTATCATCTTCTATCCGATATACATGGAAAAGGCCTTTTTTTATATTTATTTTTTATTAAGTGAGGTTGTTCTTAATTGCTTGAGTTACTCGTTGATTGTGATATTTCAGTTGTTGATTCATGATTAAAATTGAAAATGTGAGGGAGCTTCCTCAGTTTTTGAGCAATGATACCAACTGTTTTCCCATAGATTTGTGTCTGAAAGCCAAAAAAAGGGAACCCTCGTGCATTTATAACAACACATCTACTCCAAGTAGTTTTGGACCATTGTTTGGTCTTGCATTAATGCTTTTGCATTAATGAAACAGACGCAGCAAAGCAGGGTGCATTGAATGTTTTCATGGACACGTTGGGAAACTGAGAGGTGTTCAAATTTGAAATTGGTCGGATCATTATAATATTACTAATCTTTTGATTTTAATTGTAATCAAAATTGTCTAATTAAACATGATTTCTTAGTTAAAGTTTTGGTTTTTTATTGAGTAAATCTAATGAATTATTTTATTTTGATTAGAAGGCAATGTGAGATGGTGATGATGTGTCACTCGTAGGGGCCAAGGGGAAGACAAGCAGACTCTGTCTCGAGATATTTTTTCCAACATGATTCACTTCGGAACTTTTTGAGAATTCTGATGTTCGTGAATCATGTTCGTTATTATATATTATGCAATTAGTTTTTATCCGGTATTATTTGTATTTAATTTTAAATAAAAAAATTAAAATAATTTATTCCCGTACGATGTACAATAAATGGATATCCGAAATCCTCATAAAGAGAATCTGAATTAGATCTGGATCCTTATTTTTCAATAGGCTTATATGTCAAAGCGGTCCCTATGTTTTACTCTATCAGCCAATTTAGTCACTGTGTTCTCAATTTGTTCAAATTGGTCCTTGTAAACACATTTGTTAGCCAATTCAAGACAATCCGTTAAAAGACAGTTAAAATTGACATGTCCTAAATCCCATAATACTCAAGTGAATTGATCAAAATATCAATTTCTAAAGATGGGCATTATATATGTTTAGCGGGTGTACATAAAATTACGTTTTTGTCCTCTCACGTGCCTAGCACATGTCAATTTTAACGATTCTGTAATAGATTGTCCTTGCATTGGCTAACAGATGCAAACATAAGGATCAATTTGGCCAAATTAAAAACACATAGACTAAATTGGCCGATTGAGTAAAACACAGTGACTATTTTGACATTTAAGCCTTTTCAATATGCCCAAAATACGGACTTTTACGTCATTGTTATTATACAAGCAGAGAGAAAAAAAAAAAATTTAAGTGTCCCTCCACTTAAATGTTGTGAGTGATTTAATAGTAATTTGCTTCTGACGGAATCTTGTGAGTGATTTAATAGTAATTACCTGCTTTTTTGAATGATTTTTAAGTTGAAAGGGAAGTAATCAATGATACAAATGTTTGACTACTTGTGATTAGCCCTTTGTTTTCACGTGGTTTGGTGACTAGTGATTAGGCAAAATGCATAAAGAAGGATGGGAATTGGGGAGGCCGATTTGGGCGCACACCAACTAACCTGCCATGCTAGGTGACAAAACAATAAGATGCCAAGCTATGCAGAACCAAAATTGAAGAAAATGCAATAGAGCTTACAGGTGGTTTTCAACGTTTAATTCAAACTCAAGGTTTTAGTTTCGAATTTTTCGTTATTTAATATTGCTTGTATAAAATATTAAGTTGGTTAAAAATAATAAAAATTTTGTAACGAATTATATAATCAGGCATGTATACATCCAATTGCGTAACATAATATATTTTTTCATAATAATATCCTTCATCATCTTCATATAATCCTAAACATTATTCAAATCCAAACACTAGAAAAGAAAAGGCAGGTTGGAGTTGGGTCAAATGTGTCTTGACCACAACCTGCACAATCATTATTCCAAATCTAAATTAAACAAAACCCTGGATGATAAGATGATATTCATCTAAAGGCTTTTTGGCTCCCATTATTCCAAACCTCCATTTGTTGATGCTACCACAGGAGACATCTGCAACTGCAACCTACCTACTTGCCTGCACATAGAAACACCATGGATTAATCAACAATACAAAATAGGCATTAGATTGTTGGATGAGCATAAGCTATAATTTGTTGACGGGTTCAAAAAATTTTATTCACGAGGGGAAAAAATAAGCATCTGCGTCACTGTTATGGTTGCTCTTGCCTCCTAATTACCATGTCTCAACATCTTTGAGACATTTTCTTGAATAAGTGGTCCCCATGGAAGCCATAGGGGAAATTTTATGTATAGTAACAATGGGTGGTAACATCCCTATATTTCTAGATAGTCTGATAACATATAGATAACATGTGTTGTTGTTGTTAGGCTGAATTCAGATTCACAACGTACCAACACATATGGTTAAATTGTCAAACTATATGATAAGAGAACATCACCTATTTAATTAGTTCAAACATACCAATATTATATCAAACATAGTACATATATACCATCACCACTCCACAATACAATATGAATAATCTAATTTTTCTTCATAACACATTAGGCACATACATACCTGAGGCAGAGGCAGAAGCAGAAGCCGGAGATTGTTGCTGAGTAGCTGTCGTCCCCGGCTGCTGGTTTGGTACGACAACACCAGGCCATGAGCGGCACATGCAGTGCTTTCCCTGCTCGATGCCTGCGTACAGATTCGTCAAGTGCTTCCCACATCCTCCCCACGACGTCTTCCCACATTGCTTGCATTCCACTCTGAAGCACATCGTTTCAGTTTCGATTTCGATTTTGATTTCGACAACAACCCTTGATCCCGACTCCAAGTTTTATTCTTTCTTTCTGTGGAGATTGGGTGGATGTTTGTTTCTTGCTTTGTTTTCCATCTTATCCAATTGCGGTTGTATATGCAGTCTCTTTTGCTTTGCTGTCATCGACTTGTTTTTCTTTTTGCCTCAAATGCCCCTCATTACTTGGCGTTGAAGCCATCGCTTTATTCCCTTTGCATAGTAGTTGACATACTTTATTAAGTAATAGCCAATGGATTTTGAATAATTTCGGCACATGTTTTCGAATCTTACAATGTGTTTTAGTCAAGATGCTTTTATTCCCCTAGGGTTTTACCTATTTTTTTCTTCTTTAGGATATTCCAACAATGTATAATTATTAAACCGTTTATTTTCGAGGAATGAACATAATTAAAAATCGTTCAGTCATTTGATTAACAATGTAATAATTTTGTGTTTAGCAATATATTTGACTTGTACTTTTATTTGATAAAAGACTAAGATTAATAAGCGATTTCTAATTAACTAGGTTCAATTTTTGCGAAGATGATTGTTAAAGGGTGACTTTCTAATCATCAAAACACACTACATGATGAGAACGAGAAGGTTGAAGGGGAAGCTACAAAGCAAAAAGTAGCTAGGATTCATAATCCGATCATGACAAAAGTTCGGCTGATGACAGATTTGTTGCCCTACAACGGTGTGCAATTGTTTAAAGATTTTCCGAAACCCTATATGTTCACTGTTTTAGCCCTACCAACTCAAACATCCGTGAAGACAACCTGTATTTTCTGGTAGTGAGAATAAGCTTGAAGGGGAAAGCTACTAAGCAAAAAGTAGCTAGGATTCACATTCCGCCAAAGTTGGTAACTCACAACCTAATTATACTATGATGGTTAAAGTTAAGGCAGTCAAAACAAAAACAGAAACACATCGTTATAGAAATAATTAGGATTCATCATCACTTTATTAGGTTTCATCTTCATCCCATGTTCTTTTGATATTGTAGCCAATTTGAACATCCGAGGCAAATGGAAATGGACCCACAAATCATCAAGATGGTAGGAACTAATTAAGAACAAGTCTGTCTCACAT